GGCTGTTTAGTTCGCGAAGTGTCTGCGTGAGGCTTGAAAAGGACAGCTGTGGTGTTTCCTCGTGCGCCAAGCGCCGCGCACTCCTTCAAGTGACGCGCAGAACATTTTACTTCCAGCGGTCGCGGGGAACAAATTCAACTAACTTTTCCCACTTTACACTTACCTATACAAATATTTTTCACTGCCTATCACATTTCTCCACCCAAAACTCCCATAAACACCGTTTCCATGGGAAAAATGGTGGGACTGGGTGCAGATGAGGTGCACTACTGTAACTACGTTTGTCGTAGTCAGTTCTCCGGCTGACAGCCCTTCCATTAGATCAGGCTTGGAAGGCCAACCATATGAGTATCGACTTAAAAGGCTCACACTTTGTACTCTCACTTATGAATAATACAGAGGACACATGATCCTGCTCTTCAAACTCGTCAGAGCGGTAAACTGTACTCTTCAGATAGCAGAGGAGACTTGATAATACTTTACTTGTCGGTCATTCATGTGGCAACCAACAGCGATTAAGGTAATTTACATATATGGTTCTGAAACATGAGCATGATTTATCAGCATCTATCTGTAGATAGTGTTCTCAAAGGCTCTGCCTATCTCCTTTATGTATACTGAATAATACTGAATTATTTGGTAAAAGCCTGAGAGTGTTAATTTACTCATCAAGTCTCTTACCAATTTTCATATGCAATGTAACATTTAAATTATTGAGAACCTATTAATTATGGTGAACGGAAGCTCACCGATCGGACACGATACTCATTCGACCTTTTTGCTTTGGGGTCTGCTCTCGAGCGCCGCCAACAGCAGCACAGTGACTAGAATTATAGCACATAAACATTACCGAAACTAAGAAAATGGAGACTGAAATTAGCTGTCATCAACCAATAATTCCCAATTTTAAGTACTGCCAAACATCAGGCTCCAACCTGCGGCCTACTGACTAGAAAACGGACAACTGAGTCCCGAAATAGATCGGTTAGCGTCCACGCGCCAAGGATAATATCCTTAGTCAAAACCGGCATTGGTTAGACGGTTAGCCTTCTAAGAAATAGATTGTGGGTTCAAGGCTCGGCTGGCTGATGACGTCCAAATGGCCAAAACTGATCATTTCAATCATCCTTATCTTCGTCAGTAATAATTGGTGGCCTAGCAGACGTTTTTATAAATGTGAGCCTGTTGACAGGAAATCGTGACCACCCTGTCCTTCAATGAAACCGACATCAAAAGGGGAAATAAGGCAAACCTAATTTATATATTTGCCTCAACCTCGACCGAAAAAACAGACTCAAAAGATGCTATGTCTCGCCTCGAGGCCAACGGACAGTCGTTTACACAAGATCAGATATGCTAAATAAATGAAGGTAGTTCACTTTCGTAATAATTAGTCGAAAATGATAATTGATTGTCCAACAGATCGGTTCATACGACGGATATTTCATTTCTCGTATGCGGGCAGATATTAGGTGAGTCTTGAAGAGGTGGTTGGCAAAGCATAAGTTCACAGTCGAAACAAGCCAGAATGACTCGGAAAAATTTGACGACCCTAACTATCCGCGTATTTTCTAGTAAGCCAAGAACAAAAATGCCCCGTTCGCAAGAGCTCTGACAGTCCTCAGAAATACATTTCTCATTAACTTTTAATGATGACCTCTAATGAACGTTATTTCTGCAGTTCAGATAACTAGCAGTAATACTAGTAAGGACCACGACGGCACATATTAAAGCATACGAAATTGTAAGTTATAAAATGTATGTTGTTTCACAGTTGACAAATGAGATCATAGCCCTTTGTAAATCTTATAAGAAAAACACATTTCGAGGACGGGATTGAACAATATGCAGTAGGGTTCAAGCAACCAACCTATGAAACGACTGGGTAAAATAATCGACATTTAACCTTACATGTTTTGTTGCAAACCCCTCCTTTGCAAAACTCAGCTTTCCTGACCAACCCTCTTGATTTTAACTGCTTAAAACCCTGGTGATTCCTATCTGCTTGGGAACTAGAAACAGACCACGAGTCACTGTCGCTATTACTGACTGGATTAGTTTATCGTTGTTCTTACTCACATAATCTCTTTGAACAACAAAGTCACACAGGTCCTTATGTTATTTAATTGTACCTGCTGTGCGGTCTCTGTGTGATAGTCTAATCTCGCTGTTGTAGGACATTCAGAGCAATTTTAATTTGATAAACAAGATAAGCGCGACCTCAGTTTCAGTAAACGTCTGATAGGACAACCAGAGTTGAATCCAATGATTTATTGGAGGGTAGTCCCTTAGTCAACCAAATCCTCTTTAAGCATCCGAGCTGACCGCATACATATAAAAAGGGCAGCCATCAGACTCTGGGATAACTCGCTTGAAGTAGACCTCGCAGAAACTATGGAGGGGACCGACATCGGCATTTTGGTAGGAACGATTCTTGCTCTGCTCTTCCTCATTCTCGGAGTGGCCATTGAAAGATGGACGTGCGGTGGTGTGTTAGGCAACTGCGTCAACTTCCACAACAGCTACTACCTGGCCATCGGCGTACTCCTCGTCCTCGCCATCATTCTGATTGCCTTTGCACTCCTTTTTCTCATCCTTGATCTGACAGTTGGCGATTACTGGATGGGAATTGCTGCAGTCGTATTTGGCTTCATTGGAGCTGTACTAGCTTTAATTGCTATGCTTATCTACTACATTGCAGTGAATCCGTGGATTTCGCCTATTCTGGCGACTATCGGCATGGCTTTTGCTGTCGCTGTAGCCATACTTATGGTGATGCAGAGAGTATGAAAACTTATACCGCAGTCCTTGTCAAGTACTTGCCCTGCTGTAAATAAGTGTTGATCATTTTGAAAATAAAGGTTCGCAAACATGCACAAGACAAGCTGTGCTGCAGTCTTCTTTTCTTTAAACCACTTGGTCGTATGAATGGTCAATTTATTGAAGTAATCTCGTTGAATTCTTAAGTCTGTATCATTGTC